AAAAGAGAACGAGACGACTCACAAAACGGAGGATGGCTTGTATTTTTACGACCACAGAGCAAGAGAGAAATACAGAGGCGTGAGCAAGCGTGCGGAAAGTGGAAGCAAACACGTGCTGACCAAAGAGGTGGCCTTGATGTGATAAAACAATGAAATGCACAGGAGGAACGGTACATGTAGAATGGGATGTGAATGGTTACTACAACATAGGAGAACACAAATAATAATATAAATGATGATCTGTGGCTCTGCCCAATCATGTATCACTGAGTCACTGGGGTATTTGGCATCCAACACTTCGAGTCAATATTTTTTCTGAAAGTCAAAGTATTTATTCAGTTATAGATCCCTTAGAATGCGTTCCCTAGGTGACATATGTTCCGGAAAAATAACTAATAGGTTACTTCAACGGTTGAATTTCAACATTCAACTTCAGGAAATACTACTGTCCAGCACTCATCTAGTTTTCTTCCGAAGATTTTATACTCATGCTTTTAACTAATGCTTTAGATAATTTATTCCACAGCTGTATAACCCTGTTTGTGAATAACCTAGCCCGCAGGTTTACTATACAGTTACTTTTACAGTCTAAGGTAATGCCCCCTCGTGCCTTTTAAGCACAGAATGCTATATCACAGGTTGAAATTGCCTCGGTATCATCTACACGAGAATTAGGAGTGCACATGATCTCATACTTCCTCCGGAAGACGCATTGTTGAGATGCTGTGAAGAAAGCATCTGGCGATCCGTACCAAGTCCGATGGGCGATACTGTCCTGGAGGCCGCAGGTTCTTTCACCCCTCTATAAAACCGTTGTACGGCCACAATTGGAGTATTTTGTTCAGGTGTAGAGCCCTTTCCTGATTAGAAATGATAAAGCACTAGAGAAGATTTAAAGCACTTTACAAATTTTTTTGGATGGATAAGAGAGCTCTTGTATGAGAGTAGAGTGGAGGTACTGCAACTCTTCTCATTGGAAAGGCGGAGATAGTGAGGCGGTCTAATAGAGACGTTTACGATTCTCAATAGAATAACAGACTTAGGTGGTAGTTCCCAGAGATTGTTGAAGCTAGGCAAAACAACCTCACTCCGAGGTCGTGCATTGGATTTGGCCAAAAATAGGGTAAATGTTTGACATCTTTCCCAGTGCAAGTCGTAAATAACTGGAAAGAAATACCAAACAAAGCCATGGCAGCCACCTTAGTGGCTGAATTCAAACACTGTTTGGAAAACTTATGGGGTGGTTGGTTCACCGGAGGAGAGTAAACGTGTCAATCTACTGAAGTCTGTCTCTCTCCCTTTCATTCCAGTGGATCATTTCAATGGCTCAAAAGAGCACTGGATTTAAGGTGAAACATTTTATCATCAGAAACGCTCCCTGAAAATGGAGAGGGGCACCAAAAAGAGGTTCCTTTACTTTTTTATGGGTATCGGTTGAGTATCATTCTATACCAAAATGTTCCGATTTTCAGATAAAGTGGAAAAAGCAACTTACATACAGTTTTAGAAACTGAAGAAGCTCGCTGATAAAAAACGATCTTGTCTTAACCCACTCCCGTCGTGTGTCAACTAAGCAGAACTGAATATGATATAATTTGTTTTCGATTCTGGGCTCTGCGATACGGTATAAAGCTGAGAGGGCAACACGCCCCAAGGAATGACTAGAAACCATGAATAGATAGTTTCTTCGTGAGCGTAGCCTTACCACTAATTTGCAAAATGGAGCAACAGAACCGCACGATCCAAAAGGTATAGTGACTTATAAACGGCCAAACTCAATTTAAGGAGCCAGTAGCGTTCTTAACGTGTCAAAATTCATATTGACTGTAAGGCTGTAAAGCTCTCCCAACGGTCGGCAAAAATATCCCACATGTACTCCTAGCAGTCTCCTACATTCACATGGTCCCGTGAGCTCTGTAATGTTCTTTGAATAGTGTTTTCAGCCTTGTATTCGCTCTAGTCACCGAGACCAAAGCATATAGGAGATTGGACAACACGTTCATGGCGACCCCACTGCTCCTCAAAAACCCCAACTAAGTTCGCATTACGGTGACCAGTTTCGAAGCTCCCAAACTTCCGTTATACGTCCTGCTCACCACTATATTTTTTTCAGATAAATCATCATGTTCTTTGCGAAGGCAAAAGTTCTCAATATTCTCAAACTGTAGAAAAACCGTGTGTCATTTACGGCTCGCTTACACAAATAAATTGTAATTTGGTGCTATCCACGAGTGTTGTTCAATAAGTGCACATTGCATCATATACAACGTAATGTTTTACAACGTTTGGATGGTAGAAAAGTTCAGTATTATTAAAGTATCGCACAGATAGTTCTATTCTGAGATCGATTTATGGGGAACCGACATGGAGCAGCCAGTATCTCCAATATATTCATTTCAGAAGCCCTGTGCCACTCAAATGAAAAGAAATCCTATTCAGTGTTTGGTAAACAGGGTGGTAAAAATATGCACCGATGACACCATAAATGCGGAACCGTCATTGATTCGTGATGCTTTTCTACAAGATAGCTATCCAGAACGTTTTGTGGATAGCGTTTTACGAAATAACCGTCCGAGCACAGAGAAGAAGCCGGTATACATTTCTCGCCCATTCAAAGGGGCTATAATCACAGATTTGGTCGGCCGCAAACTAAGAACTGCGGGAGCGAATACCTTTCATGCTGCAAAGTTACGTGTCATATTCACCTCTAGACCGATCTTGTGTTTGCAACTGAAAGACAAGATTCCTGCTTCTGCATTCTAATTTTGTGTGTACCTGTTTACATGTTCCTGTGGAGCAACATACATGGGCCGCACGAGAAGAAGCCTATCTATACGAGCCTGGGAACATTATCCGGCTTGGCTGAACACCAGGGTGGTTAAAACTATTACAAGTGCCATTGTTTCACATCTTTTCGAGTCCGATCACACAGTGAGTGTAACTGAAGCATTTCAGCCTCTCTACTGTGTTTGGGGTTGCAGATGAAGACAAATTAAAAAGCATGGTAGCCACCACAGAGGCCATTGAAATTCATCTAAATAGTCCCATCTAATGCGCCTAAAACAGTTTGTGAAGTCCCTCAACCTACCAGGGCCCTCCCCCTCTCATCATCATCCTCATTGAGTCAGAAAACAATAACGACAATCCCCATTTGAATAATCGTTAATTTTGTTTCCCCTTTTCTATAAAAAATTATGTAATACAAAATGTGACGTATTAGTCAGTCGATGGGTATCCGAAAAAAAGCTTTTTCTCTAATCTGCATTTGTCACTCAATATGTGTCGCTGGTAAAGTTATCTTAATGAGATTGACACGTGCGATTGGAATTAAGTATGTCGATGATGCTTCCATTATGAAGCAGTAACAACCATATGAACAGCATATAAGTGTTGTTGTTCCTTAATGTAGTATACTTCATATACAGAGTGCACCAAGGTAAACACAAGTTAGTTACGTGGTCGTCATCTTCATCACCCAAAGTGTATAGTTGAAAGAAACATGAGGTTAATTTTGTCTATGAACAGCCTGAAGTAAATATGAGAGCAAGAGATAAGAGACCTAAACCGGTTAGAAATGCTGCAGGACGATGGTTATCTGTCTCACAAGTACAGGCATCACGGATTTCCTAACACTTCAGGCTATTATGCATCAGAGGGTGTTTCACAATTAAAACACCAAAACATCAATTTGCATAGAGCACATTACCATTGTGTACCTCGGTGCACCTTTTGTAACATTCTGGCTCGTTACCCATGGAATGTTTGTTGTTCCTCTGTCAATGTTTCTCTCTTGGCTTTGAAATTTTTCAAAGTTCTTTTGCAGGTTATGAATCTATTTGATAGTCATGTATCTAATCCCGAAAAGCCTCTTTCTCCAAAATGGTTTAACTGCGCATGTTTTAGAGCTGTTCGCAAAAAGTGATCAAAGTTTAATCGGTAGTGTCACACACCTCTGCATTCCGTCATAGGTTCTTGCAAGCTCGCAAGAACTATATGGCCATCTTGAAGAAAGCTAAAGAGCATTTTGTTGAGCGCAAAACAGCACAATTTCTAAAGCAGGCTCTTATAACTTGTGTTCCATTAAGTTCTCATCCACTGGTAAACTATTTGGTGACTTAGTGTCTGCTCAAACCAGCCAAAGTGTTTCCCTTCCATTTTGCTTTCAATTGTACCATCCACTTATTAACCGTCCAACTCTTCACATACCGTACACTGCACCATCTTTTCCTATCAGTTCGGTTTTCGGTCTCATCAATCCACCATTGATCGCCAAGTGCTCATTTTGGTCAAAAGCACTCAATATTGACGGGGTAATCCATATAGTGTCTCTGCAAAAATCGAAAGCTTTTGATTGTGTATGGTACGCAGGTCTACTGGATAAACCAAACAAGTTTGGCTTTCATTCGGAACTGGTGTTTGGGTCATCAAGCAATCTCAACGACCTTGGAATTTCCGTTTGAGTAGATAGTACATTGTCTCGCCGCGTACCTGTGAATGCTGGCGTCCCCCAAAGTTCTGTGCTTTTGCCTTCACCTTTTCTAGTGTTCATTGATAACCTATCTTTTCCTTCGTCTTCAAATCCTATTCATGATTTTGCCGATTACGCTCCTATTTGTCCAATTTCTCTCCACACATCCCTTAACTCCACCATTGGCGATAATCACTCCTCCATTAGTATCTCACTAAATCTTGACCATATTTCTGTTCGAGGCTGTCATGACCGTGTTCTTTTGAATGCCAGTAAAACTCCCTTTGAGTCCATTTCTCCTAATCACGGAATTGTATCACCTTTGTTGAAGCTTTCCCCAATGTTCTCCGGTCCACGGGTTCATACAATTTATTTTCAGAAAAGTGGCCTATCAAATGGCTCAGACAAAAAAACAATTAAAAGTTAGTCATCGACAGTGAAGAGGAACGCACGACCTCCGGGGTATCTTATCCTATTGGGAACTTAAGCAAAAGGACTAGCTAAATTATTCGAGCAAGCGTCTATAGAAACAATGTTCGCCAAAGTCCATAATAGTGCCCAAAATTATTACAACTTCGAGAAGAGAACCCTTGGACCTCCATTAGCGTGTGTAAATAGGTAATCATGATTCAGGAAATGACTGGTGTTTCATTAATAAAAAATAAACTGCAGTTCATTTGTTTTGTTATAGTACCACGTTTGTTCTCACTTGATTATTATTCAGATGTCTTGACGTGATGCTTTCTCTATCCAATGTTTCTACTGCAGTGTGGCGTCTGTGCTTGCTCTAAACTACGGCATCCTCGTCCAGCATTATGATTACCTCTCGATTCTTACATGAGAATATAACGGACAAAACAAACAAATTATTTTAGTTTCCTGCAGATTGATGCCACAAAATTTCTGGTGCTTCCATTATTTAGTAATTGCATTTGCTTTGTCTTTCTGTCTATTCGTTTACATTAAAAATTGTACGTAAATGTATAAAAACATGTGTCCATTCACCTCCAGCTTGTTGTTTAGAACGATGTATGCCAGATACAAGGTGAGCTTCAGTCATCGCGAATGATCCGTTTCAGTCATGCGAGGATTACACTCTGAAAAGAACACTGTCCGTCGCACCGAATTTCATCGCAAAGTGTGTCAACGATGGTGTTTTGCAGGAGATCGCCTTGGATAATTTCACTGGCAACTATCTGGTGATATTTTTCATCTCAGGAAACTTGTGAGTTCAAGACTCCAATCGGTTACAATTGTTCATATAATACCAGGTGGGGGTATAAGACATTAAGCACAGGACATCCTTGTGATGATGCACTGATAATTGTTCATAGTAATTTTAAAATTTCTTTTATTAAATGCCTTTTAGCATGTTCAGATTTACAGTATCATGACTTTACAACAAATGAAATAAAGATCGATTTCCATCGTTTAAATATTCCCTGTTGAATAATAATGAGGATACCGGGCGGAGAAAACGTTTACTTCTGTACCAACTGCGTAAATGAAACACGCTTGATGGTCACTGAAAGACGGATAAGAGAGTAATTTGTGCGCACGGAATGCAGGAAAATAATACGAGATTCAAGCATCGTTGAAAATCTACTCCTGCTATGTGAACTAACTAATAACTTAGATCTCCTCATCTTTTTATATCCCCTTCCATCCGTTTTATGTGATAACCTAAGCGGTTAATTTCATTTTTGCTTTGTAGGACTTAGAATAAGTACAGCCCGATTGCTTTGTCATCGCGTAAACATCTTCGCCGGAAAACGAAACATGGTTTTGAAGCTTGTAGTTATTCGAAGGTTAAGGAGGTCTTGGAGACTAGTACGATTGAGATGACCAGTCTAAATAGCGCGTATAATCATTGAAGTTTGGTCCGTAGCTTTAACCATGACAAAGAAACACTCATTTGAGCTATTTAGGGGCGACAAATGCAACCTAGTGACGTTTGATGTAGACAACGCGTTTCCCAACTGTAACTTCACTAATGGTAGACCTTCAGATCATGTACCTTATCCTATTATCACCCATCAGATCTGGCTACCCACCAGATTGGTACCACAGGAATGAACAGCGGGATAGTGCATCCATCTCCTAATGAAACATATGATCCCGAATTTATCGTATGATATTTCTCTCTCATTTTATCGAAACGTCTTAACTGACGCTTTATGAAGCAGTACGTTTTCAATTAATAGTGAGCCACCTCCAACAAATTTGCGATTAAGAAACTAACCACAGACCCCCCCTATAGCCTGCATCTCAGTTTCCTTCTAAATCTTTGCAAACTCTTTTTACAACTGAAAAATAACGACCCAAATCAGCTTCATTATCGTCCTTCCCGTTCTGCTCTTTGCTCTTACCAGAAACGTACGGCCTTACAAATATGTTTTTTTAGATTACAACGATGTTTTACTTGTATACGCGAACCAAAATAATTCACTGATATGAGTGACAATGGAGTTCATTGCTCAAACCCTTGAGTTGTGGACCAACTACTTCGTCGATCTTTACAATACCACTCGAAATCATGGTTAAACATTCTCTTCACTGCTTACTAGCCAAGGTGTAGCACACGGTGTGTTCTGATCATGTTTCATTTCCCTTTACATGTTCCCTATTTCTGCCTTTCAAAATTCCTTCATATTTGTCTATGCAACCACCATGGATGTTGATATGCCCTGTGCACGTTTATCTCATCNGATACTACTCCATAAGCCGGTTTTTCAAGCCGCTCGGACTGGTATGGTTATCATAAGTTGGATATGAAGGTCATTGAGTACGCTAATTCTCTGCTCTCCCTCTCTATAACTCTCTCTGCTTGAAAGTGATAAACACCCAGCCATTTTATTTACAATTTCCACTACTGTTAAGTATCTGTGAAATATCAACCCACAGATTGCCACAACAAAAATAGATATTACTGAAACCAGTCGGCGTTTGGGTTTTGATAATGCTTGGTTTTATTTTTGCAACCTGTGGGGTGAAAACGTATAGATGCAGCAAAGTTTGACAATGACTATTAGTTCGGGGATTACACTAATGCAGTTTTGGGGATTTTATTTTACGGCTGTTGCCTCAGATTGTTCTATGCCTCTTTAAAGTTTACTAAATATTATGTTGTTCTTGGAAGTGAACTGTTTTGTTTGCTTAAAAATTTTCTGGTCTGTTTACTAAGGACTTCAGACTTATCGCTTGGTTTCTCGAACACCCAATCGCACTAGTATCAACCGTAAGCAACTTACCATCCTTTATTTGGCTTCTATCTACTTTAAGACATGTTGAACGTCTTTTAAAAAGATAACAATCCCCCCACTTCCTTCTGACCGTGATCTCATCAAAACTATCCCTACAATTCGTTCACTCATTCTGACCACAAATATGATAGTGCTCTCCTAAAGGCCCATCACTCTCCTGCGGCTCAATATTGAA